CAAATTTTACAAAATATTATATATATAAAAATAGCTTCACTTAAATTATAAAATATTAAATTTTTATTTATAATTCTATTTATACTTATTAATATAGATCATTTCGAAGTTACCTTAGTAACTTAAAATTTAAATAATAATAATAATTTGAAAAGAAAAAAAATATCCTTATTGCATAACATCTATTATTAAAAAAAACCCACATTCATGTACATGTTTGATACGTACGTATTTGTTAATCCACATTTCTTAAGGTGTGCCACAACTACCATTAACCTTTATCTTATCTTTCTCTGAATGCGAGATCCAATGTGAAGTTCGTGATACAACCATAAAAGATTTTACTAAATGGAAGATGCCTTGTGACGCTTGTGGTCTAATCCTGGCAATTTATTATTAAACATGCCATCATCGTATCCAAATCATAGTTCACAAATTACATAAACTGATGGTACTTTATGAAACAAATCATGTTAGATGAATTAATATGTTAAAATCACGTGGAGGCAACATGCAAACACAAATTGCCACACCCAATATACTATCTGCTTTGAGACGGTCAATTTTTTGAAAAGACAGTGTACAAGTTTGAACATGGAAATACCTGCTTGTTTACAGTTCTATCAGACTTATCCCAGGAGTCTTTTTCAAGCCTCTCTTCTTTGCCAACTCCCTTATTCTAGCCACATCATCCCATTTTCCACCATCTGCAAATATATTTGCTACTGATCTATATACACTCGACTTCTCAGGGCTTAATTGCAGAAGATGCTGTCCTATTACCTCCCCCATCTCTGTTTTTCCATGTACCCTGCAAGCTGCAAGCAAAGCCCCCAGTGCAGAAGCACTTGCCTTTTCTGGCAGCAACTTCACTAGGTCATATGCTTCTTCCACCCTTCCTGCTCGGCTTAACAGATCAATGATACAAGAGTAATGTTCTTCCCCTGGAATTATTGAGTATTCTTCTGTCATGGACTTGAATATTTGCAGACCCTCTTTGACCAAGCCTGAATGACTGCAAGCAGAAAATATTGAGGTGAATGTCATCTCATCAGGTTTTATGTTTTCCTCCTTCATTTGATTGAATAGTTTGAGAGCATCAATGCAGTTCCCGTGCATTCCACATGCAGCTATGATTGAGTTCCATGATGTTAGGCACCGATGAAAATTCTGCTCAAACAGATACTGAGACAAATTTAGTTTCCCCAGCCTTGCATATGTTGTTATCAGGGAATTGATTACCAGTGCTTCTTTCTCCATTGGAACTCGATATAGGTGACAATGAACTTCCTTCACTAAATTTAAGCATCCCAGCTGTGCAAATGCCTGGACCAGACTCACCAGAGTGACTGAATCATGATCTAGATTTTCTCTCTTCATGATCCGGAACAAATTTATGGCTTCATCAGCATCCTCATTGTCGACATAACCCATCATTATTGATGTCCATGAAAACAAGTCCTTGTATCTTATTCTGTCAAAGACTTGTCTTGCATAGAGCACACAACAGTTTTTTGCATACATGTATACAAGTTTATTGGTAATTTCAATATTCATGTGGAAACCATTTCTTAGAATGTAACCATGGGCACACCTTCCTTGTCTTGTGTCTTTGAGATCAGACAATGCAGCTAGTAAACTCAGGATACAACATAGTTTTGGTCGAATAGCAGATCCAACCATTTCCATAAAGATTCCTATTGCCTCAGATGCAAAATTGCTTCGAAGATACCCTGCCATCATCACACTGTAAGAAATTGCATCCCTAGACTCCATTCCATCGAACAATTTCCTAGCTTGGATCAAATTACTGAATTTAGAATACATATCAACCAGAGCAGTAGCAGATACTAGATCCAGCTGGTGTCCAAGCCGGATAATTTGACCATGGATACTTTTGCCTTCATGCAAACACCTCAAATCAGCACAACACAAGATCCCATTTGCTAAGGCAATCAGATCGGGTGCTATATTTTCCTCAACCATTTCATGAAACAATTGCAGAGCTTCCAATGGCTGCCCCATTTGAAGATGACCAGTGATCATAGCATTCCAAGAACCAATTCTTCTCACCTTCATCTGGTGAAAAATGCAGGCTGCCTTTCTAGGATCATTGCATTTGATATACATATCGATTAGACTTGTCCCCAATATTTCATCTAAACCACCCATGTCCCTTCTAAAAGCATATCCATGGATCGAGCGTCCTTCTCTTAAGGCTTCCAACTCTGCTGCTGCCTGCACTAAACTCACAAGAGTCACCCGGTTAGGACAGATCTGCTCCTTCTGCATAAGGCGAGCAACATCAAAAGCCTGATAAGCATGGTGATCTCCAGCCTGAGCATATCCATTTATCATTGAAGTATAAACAACAATATCTCTCTCAGGTATTTCATCGAACACTTTAGCTGCACCTTCAATATCTCCAAACTTAGAGTACAACCCAATGAGCGAAGAACCCACAAATCCATCTGTACTTAATCCAAACTTCAAGGCATCCGAATGAACTCTTTTCCCAAATTCAAAGCTCCCCAATTCAATACAACTCTTCAAACAAAAAGTAACAGCTGAACTATCCAAACCCAAGTTTTGCTGCTTTACATCAGAATACCGCCTAAGCACTTCACTGTACAGACCACCTCTGTGGTAACCAACGAGAATTGAATTCCAAATAGAGAGGTTGTTTTTGATGATTCTGTCGCATACCCATCTCGACTCAGCTAAAAGTCCAAACCTGGCGTAGCAATTCAGCAGCTTAGAACCCAGAAAGATGCTGTCACCGAGACCGTAAGTGAAGATGAAAGCATGTAGCTTTTTCAAGGAAACAACGTCTGTACAGTTCTCCAAATAAGATGCGAATTTCTCTGAAATGGGTATCCATTGAGAGAGTGAATTCAAAACACTGTAATTTGAAGTGCAGAGAAATCGACTGAGAGATATAATGGATGGTATCGCGTTGTTCTTAGGGACAACTCGACTAATTCTCAATGGAAAAAGAATCATGCTTTAAGCAAAATCCCAGATTTGGGAGTTTTAAACCGTTCCTCCCACCAAAATCTGATCAAAAGCACTATTAAGTGGAGGCATGGTTGAATGTTCTGAGAAACAACACGGAAACGCTGTTATTGTTGTTGTTTTATTTTATTTTATTTTATTTTAAAACTCTATTAAGTGGATAAAAATATATTTTATAATCAGAACAATTTAAATTAAAATATAAACATTTTTATAAAGATGGCTTCTGCTATTAAAATCCCTTTTTTATTTAAAAGTTTATATTTTATAATTTAAGTGAAACTATTTTTATATATATAATATTTTGTAAAATTTGAATTAAACTATTCCTTAAATAACTGTAGGTTCTTAAATAAGGGTAGGTTGTTAATATTGGGGGCTATAGCCATCCAATTGTCCTTTTTCACAGCCATTGCAGTCGTATGTTTAAAGAAAAATTGAATGGAGGTATCTGTTGGCAAAAAGGGAGGCATTTAATTTCGAGGAAAAGATAATAAAAGCTTAAAAATTGTGAATCTAAATTAGGTTCAGGTGTTTGCAAATTCTCATACCACTCTTCTGAAGATTCTAAACGTTTAACGGCAGTTAAGCTCTCAGGAAGAATGCAGCTTATTTATGAAGAATAATACATAGTCACTCAGGAATCAGGATACTGAAGAATTAAGAAGAAACTGAATTATGGTAAAAAAAAGAAAAAAAAAGGGAAAAAAGTACCACATGGGTGATGGGTCACCTTTGTTGGAAAACCTGAATAGAAGTTTAGAAATTAGGGAAGGCAGGAGAGAACTCTTGCCAGTTCCATATGAAGTGGTAAACTAGGGCCATTTTCATCCATATACTTATTTTACAGGTAGAGGATTATTAATGGCAATGGGGCATCTCTGCCGTGGCGGACGCCTTGTCCTCTTTCCCCATCCTGTTAGGTTACTCTCTGGAATTACTGCTTCTGCTTGCTTAACTGGGTCCAAGCAAGATGCATTTGAGCTGGGTGGAACAGACCGCTTCCTTCCCCTTCCTGAACTGCTCTTAGAATTGTTCTTCTGGGTCAAACTTGATTGCCAGTTGCCACCCTTAGCTTGAATTAGCCCTTCAATTGTCTGAAGATCCTGAGACACCTCGTTTCTTGACAGAGAAGTAAGACTAGGAAGTATATCTCTTTGAAAGTGCTTGCGCTGCCTTCCTCTCCTTGCCTGTCCTCTCCGTGGTCGTCTTGTAAATGGTTTTTCACCTTTTTGATTTTCCAGAACCTGGGGCATATAACAGCATTCTTCTACTTTGGTTTCTGTCAAATTTAATGTCATTAACTCAAAATAATCAAGTCCATCAAGACTGTAGTCTTCACAAGAGGCACCATCCTTGTCTGGTGAAGATCTAACATCAATCTCGCTGTCACTCCCGTAAGAAGAGATTATCTCAGCAAACCAATGAAGAGAACTGCCTGCTGGAGTTTCTAGTTGCTGACAGGAACAATTGTCCACGTTAATTGCGGATGTAGATAAGGCCACCAGTGCCTCAGCAGCTGCAGAAACAATGTTAAGTCTTTGAGGCTCTTCAGATTCATTTTGTGATGAGTCAAAGGGTTTCTTAAGCTGACTTTCAGGAGACTCAAAACCAGAAGCAGTTTCAGTGTCAATGGTAGCTGGCACCTCCAAATCTATCACAGCTGCAAACCTCATACTGGTTTTTGGAGATGGTGGTTGAACATCTCCTTCAATCCTTTCGTCAACAACACACAAATTCAAATCAATTTCTGGTTTTAAATCAGCATTCAGCTCAGTTACTTCTTTCTCCACAACTAGACTCTTCATTGGACGTTCTCCAGATGCAGGTGATGAAGAATCAGTGCCATTGGCTGAAGCTGAAATTTTTGACTTCAGCAGGGAACTGGGAGAAGGCATATCCTTGGATTCAATTTCAAGAATGTGAAATCCAAGAATCTTTGTTTTGCTTGAATGGTAATCACCTTCCTGTCTCCAGTAATCAGTGTTATTTACACTAGCTGCTGAGAAAGAATCTTGGATAATGCTTTGGTAGGGGCACTTCTTCATCTCAATCTGACAGGAAACTTCCATTTCTTTGGCAGCTTTTCCATTAGATAGTGGATGGGCTCTTAACCAAGATAAGCCTGCATGCAGATTCTCTTGTTTCTCAACCACATTCATATTTAACTGAGGAATTGATTCATTCTGATAACCATTCACAGGCATATTTAGATCTACTGCTGACTTTGCCTCCAAGCTTAAACCCTTAAAATTATTTATAGGAGCATGTTGAACAAGTTGTTCAGAAACAACTTGATTGCTGGGGCTGGGGCAATTTTGGTTGCTGAAGCCAACTGATGGGCAGCAAACTCTTGATTCCTTGGATTTGGATGGAGAACAATACTGACCATTTTGGCACAGTTTGTCCGTCCTTAAATTGGGAACAAATCTTGAATCACTCTGAGCAAGCACTTTGTCCTCGGCAACTCTATGATCCTGCATTGATGTTATAGACCTACCATTCGGTTGACCAACAGTACTACTACCAGGATTTCCTGGAGCATTCTGGCTCCAACTACTAGGAAACCTTTTCCAAGTAGAAACAGAGAATATCTCAGAATTTGTTGTATCTGAACGGGGACCATTTGCTAGTTGATCAAGTGAATGTGAAGCAAAAGCTGATGCATCATTAAGTGCAAGTGAAGCAGCAGCAGATGTACCACTACTACTTTCAGGAATTTCTACACCAAAAATTTTCCTCTTCGCAGGTGTTTCTGTATTTGAAGGCTGGACCTTTGTGGTTTCAACTTGCACTGATTTGGGTTGTTTATGCAACTCTTCAGCATGAAAACTTCCACAGAAGGAACTAGTGCTTCTATTGTGACCTAAAACGAAGCCATATCAAACATATCAATTGAACTAGTATTGCAAGAATAATAACTAGAGCTACCATCTCTAACATTGCCATTACATTCAGCAGAAACAAGAAGAAGGATATAGCTTAAAAGATGAATGGCATAGCTACTTATGTTGATGGAAAACTGAGAATAAGAGGAAAAGGAAAAAAAACTAACAAGCATTGCTTGAGTCCCTACCATTTTCAACACTATTAGATAACCATGCTTTCTGCCTCCTTTCAATCTCCACATGCAGATTGTCAAGACCAATTCCTTCCTCTCTTCCATTATGGGAGTTCTGTGAGAATTCTGCTGCCAGAGGTTGGAAGCCTTGTTGTGACCTTGTAGATGACTGCTGCCTCTGTGCCTTGTCAACCTGGGTAGGTCCATTCCAATTGGTATGACAAGAGGTTCCTCGTACATACAAATTGGAATTGATAGCATCACCATTACAGTTATAGCTGCTACCATTACGAATAGACAGCTTTCCTTCCCTTTGATGAGGAAAATCAAAAATCCTTTTAGAAGGGTAATTTTCTACTCCTGATACCGCAGAAACACCAAGATCTCCCTCTCGGTTGCTTAAATATTCATCAGCTGGACGTTCAAGGTCAAACAATCTTCTCTGAACGTTCTTGCATTGAGATTCAAGGGATTCACCATTTTTCAAGTTCAATCCATTTAGCAATGAATCACAACCAGAATGCAAAAGTTTCTCTTTCAAAGAACTAAATTGGGAATGGATGCTATCAGCCTCAGATTTATATAGTCTACCACAACTTAAGTCCAACATCTGTGACTCTAAAACATGACTCTTTTGCTCATCTTGAGACAGGAAGCCAGATGAAAAGGGACTAGATTGTGATGTACCCACATGAATCAAATGTTTGTTTAGTTCTTTACTTTTCATTTCATTCATCATCTCCCTTTGTCTTCTGTAAAGACGATGAAGTTCATGCAGCTGGATAAACAAACTCAAAATAAATAAGTTCAACTGATAGAGAGCTGCATAGATAATTCAAGAAATAGTATCTAAGAAAAATTCAAGAAATAGTTCAAAAAAGCTAATACAGAACATACCTGGTGCCTGAATATCGATTCTTGCTTCAATATAGTGTGCCTCAGTTGTTCCTTATCACATCCAATATCTATGGCTGGCCTTGTTGAGAAAAAGTTATGGTACAGCTCAAAGTTTTTATTTTCATGATGCAACGGCCAGCTAACCTTGCCAGTATCATGATTTAGATCCCTCAAGGAATAATATCCAGGAAAATGCATCTTTAACTGTACTTCAGTTCCCATTTCTGAAAGTAACTCAAAAACCAGAGTGAATTGCTTGCCATAAAAAAGTTATTTAACATCAATTCAAAGAGAAATCAAAACCTCTACCAGAGCATTTGGCAAATTCAGAAGAAGAGGCAAAATCAATCTTTTTATGCAAACATCTACAAGGCACTTACCATTGAAGAAAATCTAGAGTACAATTTTATTTTCACGGTTCAATAGTAAACACAATGAAAAAATGTGTACAATGCTCATCTCATATAAAAAATAAAATGCAGACAACTTTGGTGTACAAAACCTTGTAAATCCTGTTGTCTACAGCTTCCTATCTTTGTAGAAAATTTATATCTAGTCCCAACTCCTTAATCAACTTCCACTTAATGACTTGTGGTTAAACTAGCATCAAGAGAAGGAAAAGCACAGCATGGTAAACATGTGACGAAGAAGTTTCTCTTTGAGGGAAAGGAAAAATCATAAATGTTGACATGATTGTCCTTTTTATGTCAACATCTTGAATTTGATACATATTCAAATATGATCCTTCCTCAAATGCATTCGCCATTGGGCCTGTTTTTTCCTTTTTTGCCAACACAAAATAGACATTAAAACGAGTTTCAATTTGGGAAGAGGTCTAAGAAATTCATCAGAGCAAACAGCTCAAACATTTATTTCATTCAGTAATAACTACTTGAATATAAACACCAATTTCATGCCACAAACATTGCAACAGCCTGCTTCAAACAATTACTTTCCTTCCCGTGTCTAATAGAAAGCTGCATTGAGGCATCAGAATCCAGTCAATACAAATAAAGAATACAGTCAATACAAATGAAGAGGATTTATCTTTCACTATTTCAATGATCAGCTGCCTTACAAAAGTGTGGTACCACAGAAGCATAAAACTGCAAAATCAGGGGGAAAAAAACACAGGATGCATTTGATATTTCATTGATATGAAAATCAAAAGTCTGGAATTATCCTTGCTATCTAAAAGAACAAAAACATTCAAACCCATGAGTATGTTAATATACATGGTAAGGCAGAAATGCAGGCACAGAAATTATCAATCCTCAGAAGGAAATACCAATGATCCAAAAAACACAATAGTGTTGAACCCAAAACCTTGAATCCGAGAAAAAAAGAGGGGACCTTTAAGTCAAGCACCAAAAACTAAGTAAAGAAAATAAAAAGTTGGATAATGGAATGGAAGAAAGAGATTTAATGGATAATTAACACCAAATCATTAAGAAATATAACATAAAATAAAAAGAACTGAAATTTTACCTCATAATTCAATCCTTCAGCACCTCTTCATCGGAACTGGCCTACAAGCTCACCGAACTCCCACAAGATGGCAGCAAACCAGAGCTCAAGAATCCATCTGCCTCCCAGACAATTTCACAGTACAGGTAAAGAAAAGTACCTGAAACCCAGAACAACACACGATCCCAAGGAAACAAAAACACAAACACCTAAAGGACACAAAATACAAAAGCCCCCATCTCCTCAAACCCCCATTGAAGGAAAACTAAAATCATCATCATCTCCAGACAAAATTAAAAATGAAAATTCAGATCCGCTGGGCCAGTATCTGGTGAGAAAATAGAGAGATCCCACATCCCAGATAAGAGATCTTTCTCTACGCAAGGAAGAAAGTCCTCCCAACCAACAAAACAATGACTCAAAAAAATATTTGTCAACTTGTGATTTTATTCTCTCAATTAAATTAATTCAATCCCATTTTTCTGGGATTTTTTTTATGCCTAGGATGTGAAAGATATGGGCAAATTTTATTTTGCCCATCTAGATTCTCTCCACCTTCCATGCTTTTTGGGTACACACAATAATAAATTACAAAATATTAAAATATATTTATTTTATTTTAAGAAAAATTCAGACACCCACCTGGGTTTACTCAAACAACAACTCAACAGTTTCCAAAAGTAGGTGGGCCCACACCCCCTTCAATTAGATCCTTCTTAGGATTAGGAATGTCATTCCCCCACGCGCAGTTTCACTGACATGAACTACAGTCTCAAGACAAGATGGGCTGTGTTTCCTCTGCACTGTGGGATTTCTGTTCCTCACGCCGATTGCAGACGCGTGGATTCAGAATTTTTTTCTGATTTTGCATGGAATTGGTTAAGTAATTTCTTCGAGGTATCTAAGATCTTGAGGCCTTTGCGCTTGAATACGAAAGCAATGAATTGTTATTGCATTTTTTTCTATTCTTTATCTCTTTGCTGAATTTTATTGCTTGGTCCATTGACATTTTTTGTTGGGTTTTTTTTTTCCTAATTGAGCATTTATTATTTCTTTTTATTATTAATTAATTTATATAAAAATTTATAAAAATATATTTTATTTTTAACATCAATACTATATGATTTAATTGGAGGGTTAATACAAAATTTAAAAACTCCTTTTAATTCACTATTTTAAAACATATCAATGTTAATCTTTCTTTCATATTTTGTCAACGTGAAATTTGCTTAAGGATGATGGTATCATATAAAGGTAACAGTATTGATTTATACATCCAACACTTCTTTGGTATTTTGTCAAATGTAAAATTTGTTTAAAGGTGAAGGTGTCATTTATAACGATTTAATTTACTATTGATGTTGTTTGTATAGGCCTATTAAACCTTACAATATTAAAATGCATCAATAAAGAGTAATAAATATTTACTTCTATATATATTCAAAATCTCTTTCATACTTTGTCAATGTGAGATTTATCTAGAGATGCCACAGTTTACAAAATATTTTAAAAAAAATTGATCTAGAAATTTCAAGAAACATATTGTATTAAAAATTAAAATAAGATATGAGAATCATGTTTTATAGTTTATAATGCACCGAATTATAAAACAAAAACTATTGGATGGGAAGGGTCTCAACATTAAAGAACTCAATTCTTATTTAATAATTAATGTTATGTAATTTGATATAATTTAAACTACATAATATTTTTTCCATAAGAAATTTGCCAAACCCCTATAAACTTTTCTTTTAACTACTAAATTATTTTTAGATCAATTTTTAAATACCTCAAAACTCATTTTTTTATAATGTAAATCCAACACCCTAACACATTTTAGGAACTGTAATTTTCTTAAATGCTAACATAGAGATTTCGAACTTTGATTTCATATCTACAACTTTATTGCATAAAGTACCAAATAGATTAATTTTTCCAAAAAAATGTTTTGTAGTGTCCCGAATAATTGAATTAGGATGATTCATAATAATAAGAGCTTTATTTTATCTAATAATAATTTTTTTTATAATTTGATATAATTTAAAAGGTCGGAGTCAAAGCTTTAAATTTTTATATTTTTATTAATTATTAGTAATATAGAAAAAGGAATAATTGCAGACCGGCCATTTCCATAACATGTTGAGGATTCCCTTTGCCCTCAACCACTTCCAAAGATATTTTTGACTTTTCTTTTTGACATCTAATGAATACGTTAGTATAACAATAATAAATTTCATTTTAGCTCTTCGAATAATATTCTTTTTTTTTTTTTCTTTTTGGGTAGTAAAACAAATTAAAAACATTATTTCTTTTTAAACTAAGGTAGTAATAAAATATTGATTACATCCTTATAAATTCTAGATTTCTTAAATCAAGAATATGAATAAATATCATTTTAAGTTTAACAAATTAACAAGATGAAACAATTTTTGATATAGTATTAAAGTTTCTTTGACCCATCAAAATTTAAAAGTAGCATGCTGAATGCCTTATATTCTGCAAAAGAGATATATATAACCGTATTAGATGAAGTGGTAATTGATCACTTCATGAAGAAAAGAAGTGTTCAATGCAACAGTACTAGGTTAATTAAAGGAGGCTTTTAGCAAAAGAAAAGAGCATAACTTTTTTTTCAATCTTTTACCAACAGAGCAAAATCTTTTTAATTTGGGCAGTTTATCTTTGACCTCATTTTGGATCATAACAACCTGAATTTAGGCAAAATAGCACGCCATGCCAGTAAGAATCGGCAGAGATTCTAAATCGCAAGCAAAAGCTACTTTTAAAAAGCCTGTCGATTTGAACAGAATGATGATAGGAAAGATGAAGCATTCAAAAGGAGAACAGAAGAGAAGGAAAAGAGAGAAAAAGGGTAAGAAAAGTTTAATCAAAATGATTATGCATCATACTTCTTGTGCTTGAATTCAATCTCAAGATTTGAGCCTTACCTTTCAAACTAAATTGGTGGGCACAGAAGAGTAAAATCATTAAATGTGATTTGATCTGGGGGTTTTCTTGTGCTGGGGTCGTGTGTACTTCCAATAAAACAGCACTACTCTGTATCTGTTCTGTTTTGTATGTACACACTCTCTACATGAATTGATTGTGATGGTCTCTTCCTTTGGTTGGAGTGGGCATTAATTGGAACTAGGCAAAGGTTTGGACCATTTGGTACAATTTTAGCATGCATAGTGGTAGGTAGCTGCAAAGTTGCAATAGAAGGTAATCTTTTCATATTTTTTATCCTCCATTTTTTATGTCATGATTAGAATTTAAATTCTTTTTAATTTGATTAAATGTTAATTTTAGTTTTTAAATTTTTATTTTTAAATATTTTTAATTCATGAATTATTTTTTACATTTTTTTGTTCATGAATTATGAAAAATGTATTTTTTAAATTCTTTTGTTAATTAATTTGTTAAGTTCATGATTAAATATGTACATATTTAGATTGACTTCATAGATTAACTAATAAAATGATAAAAAAAAAAATGCATTTTTCAAAGTTAATGGATAAAAAGAGTGCAAAAAAAATTGAAAGATTAAATTTGACATATAACCTTGTTATTTAGAAATAAATGACCTTTATATGTCTTTTAAATTAAGAAGAGAGAAAAAATTAGGTTTTTCTTCTTGGTTCTTAGAAGAAATTAGTTTAGTAGGTGAGATTAGCAAATGGCCTCACAGTAAAAAAAAAAATTACAAAAAAAAAAGGAGCTGTTAGGGCACCAAATAATTGTCATCAACAACTAAAATTGAATGTGCTGTTTTGATTTTTTTTGGTTGGATCTGAATCTGATATGTAATTATATGTCCATATATATAAATTTGATCTTGACATATCATAAATCTTGTTGAGTGTGTGGGTATGTGGAAGCCTCAATCAATTCAGGAAAACAAAATGCTTAAGTTGGCACCTAACATAAGAAAGCAACATTTAAAATGCAGCTATAGTGAGTGAATGATTGAAAGTTCAAATCTCCTTAATTAATGATTTGCACCAAAGAAGATGAGGTGTTTTAACTTATTAGATTTTTTAACTAGCTGAACATTAAATTTTGACACCAACAAAGAGTATTTAAGTTAAAGGAGAACTATATTACTTGATCAGAAAAGTTAAGTACAATCCACTCACATCTTATGTCCATTGATAAAGTAAAGACCTTTTAGCCATGAAGTGATCCCTCGCTCCATTAATAGCCAATGTTTTGCAGTAGTAAACTGCTTCCTCTTACTTAATACTCTTGTACAACATCCTTTCTTCCAAAGATATGTCGGGATAATGTTGCCAAATTTCTATTTTGTTGTAGTATGTGCTGTAAAAACCTAAAAAGATCACACCCATTTAGGAGCAATCATTTATGCTAGACACTCTAGTTTTACCAAACCATAATTCTTCTTCACTATTGAGAAATTACCAAACCATAATACTGCAATTAATAGTTATTATTGAAGAAGAAACTCCCATTACATAATAATGATATAAAATGGGAATATATAATTTACAAATTGCAAGAGCAACACTACATATCATTATAAACCATCTCTAAATCTAGATGACCTTCGGAAGATGTGCACCATGTATCCACCTCCCAAATCATGGGTTAGGCCTTCTCACCAGACCTTCTTAGGGCCCATGAGCCCGAGAATTTCTTCCCAAAGCCCAACATTTCCAATCCTACCAAGACCAATCACACTTGGGCTACAAGCAGCTACAGTCCAATACCCAGCCCTAATTTCCTCATTCAGCTGCTCTTTCTCCCACCCACAATATCCATCAAAGAACCTGAAATCCTCAAGCCCAATTACATTCCTCTTCACCATCTCAGCAGCACAGCCCACACTCTCTTTAGTCCCATAATATAAGCCCTTCATCACTTCTTTAAAAACCCCACTTTTCCCCACCAACTTGTCTCCTTCTTTTGGGCTCACCAGAAACAACCCAGCCTCCAACGGCCCACCGAAGAACAACGGCCCATCGGAGAAAGTACCAGCGTCGTCCAGCGCCGTTGACTTCATTTCCTTGATGGACATAAGCGACGGTCGGTTGAGGATGATTCCGAACGGGCCCATCGGCCCAGTTGACAAGAGAAGGATCACCGTCCGTTCGAAAATGTGGACCCCATCAAGCTTCTCCGTTGCGATCAGAAGGCAACCCTTTTCTGGTTCGTGAATGGTATGGGCCCAGTCCTCACCGATCTTGACTGGACCAGGTTGATCTATAGCTGTATCCGGATTGCCCGACGGCGACGACGAAGTCTTCTCTGTCGCTCTTGAGACCTTTTCTCCAGCGACTAATCTTGCTCTGAAAGACCGCCAATCCGTGTCGGTGATCGGTTTATTCTCGTCGTCCAACGGTGAAGATGAATGTGATTGGCAGCCTAATTTAGATTACCACCAAAAATTGAGTCTAACCCAAAACAAGATTGATCTAAATTATCAAGAAACAACAAAATCGAAGAACTTACGTGTTATATACGACGGGAAAGAAGCTCTTCTCAAGGGAGAAAAATTAGGGTTTCTTTTGGGGAGGGAGGAGAGGCATCTTGCTTTGATGGAGCGCGCAAGCTCGATGCTTTGGGGGAAGGAATTGGAGCTGAGAAAGCAAGCTTCCATGGCGTCACTTCTGATGCAGAGTTAAGAAGGGATAAGAGGATTAATACTATATTTATAGGGAAATGGATATGGAATTTGCACCACAAGCTGATTTTTATTTTCTCGACATCCCAATTCCTAGTTGAACATTTCTTTCCCCTTTTTTTTTTCTTGGGAATATCACATCTGGTACCTAACTTTTATAGTAAGTTTTCTTGGAGTTCCTGTATTTTAATGTGAATCAGTTGGATCCAAAACTTTTTAAATGATTGATTAGATTATTATTTGAGAAAAATGAAAATTAAGATATTTAAATGTTAGGATTTTCTGTGAAATTATTTAAAAATTTTTAATGAATTTTTTTTTTGTGTTGTGATTTTTTAAAGGTATTTGAATTTTTTTATTATCAATCATAATATTTAAATTATTAAAATATCTTAATTTTTCTTAGTCCCTTATTATTTAGTCTTTAAAATATTATATCAGAATTGTCCTCACATTTTTATTAATTTTACCTTTATAAATTAGTTTTAAAAGGCTAAGATCAAATTGACCCAAATTAAATGTTTGGGGACCCAATTGAAGTTCTAGTCAAGGTAAGGGAGTGGATGTTGTTGTTATACTAATCCATTTTCTCTTTTCTCCAACTTTACACAGTGTGGGCAAGTGGATATCCCTTCGCAGGTGGCACAAGGGGTCAGCACTATCTCCTTTTTGAGATGCTGTGTTGTAATTCTAACAAGTTGTTATTTTGTTCCACCGTCAGCACTATACAGAAAGTACTTTTTGATGAATTGTAATCTTCTTAGCCATCCATCTTTTATTTTATTTTTCCTGTTTTTATATTGGACAAAAAGAGGGGGCTTTACAACAAAAAGTTATACTTCTTAATTCTTATCCTTTCCATTCTTGCACTAAACAATGAAAAGCAGACATGATTGAATGTTGAATTGAAATATGCTCAGAAGCAAAATTCCGCAAGGATTGTGCTCTCCAGTTATACTTCAGTTCAGAGTCAGAATAATTGCAGAATTCAATATTCAGTAAAGGGAGAACTACTAACTAGTTGAAAAACTATGTATTTCCTTGATATCTAAAGAAACTTTGATACATGTACAAGTAGTAGACACTAAAACATAGCAAAGAGCTTATGAAGGCTTTCTCCAAGAAATAGAAGATCTTTCCCAAATAAAGGTTTTCCACAAAGTTCTTTTGTCACTATAACTGAAATGTGCCCACAGTAAAAGCAGCTTTTGTTGCAGAGCATCCACTTAAATCAACAGCTCGCCAACTTCTATTGGTATATCTTTGGGTTGTGCATGTTGTTTAAGGTCTTGATCCAATCTGTGAAGCATTTGGTATATTTTATCAGATTTAGAGTGCAACTTATCAGAAACAGTAAATTCATGGACCTGATTTTCAAGTTCAATGGAACTAACTCCGGCTGGCTTTTGGACTCCTGTGGTCTTCATTCGGAGCCTTACATTTGCAACATTTTTCCAATTACCTGCTGCAGCAAAAATATTTGACAGCATGGAATAGTTTCCAGGATCCGACGGTACTAACTGGACAAGGTGATAGAGAGCCTTCTCTGCCAGTTTTGCAGCATTATGCATCTGGCAAGCTAACAAAAGGGTGCCCCAAATAATGGCATTTGGTTCAATAGGCATGGTATAAGCAAGCCTAAAAGCCTCTTCTAGATGCCCTGCACGACCCAAAAGATCAATCATGCAACCATAGTGCTCAACTTGGGGAACAATCCCATAATCTCTCTCCATTGTATGGAAGTATTCAACGCCCTCATCAACAAAGCCTGCATGGGTACAGGCACATAACAAACCAATAAAAGTAACTCTATCCGGCTGAAATCCTTCTTGCTTCATTCTAGAGAAAAGCTGCAGTGCTTTTCTACCGTGTCCATGCATGGCAAGCCCATGCAGCATGGCATTCCAAGATACCATGTCCTTCTTTGGCATCCCATTAAAGACACTCAACGCCTTATCCAAGCTACCACACTTTGCATACATATCAACCAGTGCATTGGATGCTGGAATGCTACATCTAAATCTAGTCCTCTCAATGGAAGCATGCACTCTCAAACCCAGGCCTAGCAAACCAGACTCTGCACAAGCAGCCAATATACTAACAATAGCACGATCATCCAGCTCCAATCCATCCTGCTCCATTTCATCAAAAAAGCTAATTGCTTCCCTTGCCAAACCTCTTTTTGCTAAACCTGATATGAATATGGTCCAAGAAACCAAGCTCTTAACAGGCATCTTTTTGAATAAAATTCTGGCCATATCCATATCCCCTGCTTCACTATATCCCAAAACCATTGTTGTCCATGATATAACATTCCTCTTAGGCATACTCTCAAACAGTTGGAATGCCTTATCCATCTCTCCCGCTTTGCCATATCCATCCAACATAGTATTCCAACTAATTATATCTCTATTTGGCATTTCATCAAATAACTTGTGAGCTTCACTCAACTCGCCAGAGTTCAGCAATCCACAGATCATGGAATTCCAAGACACAGTATCTCTATGTTCCATTACCAAAAACAACTTCCTCGCTTCTTCAATACCCAAAACACCACACTTTGAGTAACTATCTATAAGGGAGTTTGGCACAAAAATATCACTAAAAAGCCCTGCTTTCTCAATATGGGCATGTATCATTTGAACCATTTGCAAGCCCGAACACACCTTTAAAAGAATAGGGTAAGTGAAATTATCAGGGAAAACTCCATTAGACTGCATCTCAAAGAAGGTAGCGAAGGCCTGCATACCCTGAGAATTCTGCACATGGGCTCTAATCAAAATATTGTACAATTGCGCATTGGGGTCAGGAATTAGCTTAAAAACGCTGACGGCAGACGCCATCTGGCGACAAACAGAGAAAGCCGATATCAATTTCGGCGCAACGTAGAGGTCGTCGTGCAGATTCTGTCTGATGACCTGCGCGTAAACTTGTTTCACATGGCTCAAGTTAGTGCATTTGTGAATCTCTTCCAGCTTTTGCTCTAAGACTCTGCGCGACGAGAACCATGTCGGAGCTCGCGAGGGCAGGGACATGAGGTGGTGTAGGGGTTCAGAGGGGTGGGGTTGGTGGTGATTGACCATAGAAACTAGGGTTTTGCATTGGGTAAAGAAGAAGAAGATTGAACAATGAAATTGAAGGAGTTTTTACGTGAAATTTGCAGCAGTTTG